TCTGGTGTTGATTTTAATCAGCCAGCTAATTATTTGGTGATAAAATGCACATGCCGGCATAAGAAGTAACTTGCTTTTTATAACATGAAGTTACTGCAGGAAAAAAACGATGTTGTGGTTACAACTCTGAAGCTCACCAGCCTCAAACGGGAGTGGGTAAACTGTGTGCCTATCAGTCCAACCACACAGAATCCACCACGGGAACTGCTAGGCCCCAGCCCACGCCCTACTGAATGGGAATCTCTTGGGCTGCGTTTTGATCCAACTCCTCCTCCAATGAATGTGATTTATCACAGCTCCCATCTGCTTTATCCCTCTGAAGCCTTTGTCTTTCAAGGTGGGGGGTGGTATCCTGGGATTTTTCTCAGAGAGCACCCATTGGGTGAAGGCTTGATCAGAACCGGTAACAGAGCATCTTCTTCCCCCTGAGGAACCAGCTCTGCCCCAGTCATCTCCCAACTTGACTAGCAGTTCCACCATTCTCCCCAGCCGGAGAAAACACTCTGCCCCACCCCTCCCAGCGCACCCCTTGTGGCCAGCCCTCTAACAAGTCCTGGCAGCCCTCTTGTAAGTCCTTTCTAGACCATCACAAGTTTCTCCTAAACCTGTCTCTCCGCCCACCAAGGACTCATGGCTGTCCATCAAACTATACTGATGCACATTCAGCAGCCACCTCTCGCCATCAGGAAGCAAATCTTTCTAAAGCACTTTGTAGCTTAGAAAAGTCCCAAAGCTCTGCTGCCTACAGAGAGCAGGCCACATGCTGCGTCTAGCATTCCGTCTTTTTTTTTTAATTGGAGGCTCTTATGGCTCTTATCACAATCTATACATGTATCCATTTTGTCAAACACATCTTCACATATGTTGTCATCATCTTTTTTCAAAACATTTTTCTTTCTACTTGAGCCCCTGGCATCAGCTCCTCGTTTTCCCCCTCCCTTCTCCACTCCCTCCCCTATGCCCCCTTGATAATTTATAAATTCTTCTTTTTTTTTTTTTTTAATGTTTTTACACCGACTGCTGTCTCATTTCACCCACTTTTCTGCTTTCCATCCCCCTGGGATGGGAGCCATACGTCAATCATTGTGATCAGTTCCCTCTTATTCCCCCCACCCCTTACCCTCCTCGTATCGCTGCTCCCTTTATTTGTCCTAAGGGGTTTATCTGTCCTGGATTCCCCGTCTTCCTTCACCTACTTTTCTGTTGTCCATCCCCCTGGGAGGGGGTTATAGGTAGATCATTTCATCGGTTCCCTCTTCCCCCGCTCCCCCACCCACCTTCCTCTTACCCTCCTGATATCACTACTCTCACTCTTGTTCCTGACGGGTTTAT